TTTTTTTTCATCCTGCAAAGGCTGAGGAGTCTTCCCTCAAGCCTCTGGCAGGCCGAAAAAGGCCTCAAATGAGCCGAAAATCAGCTGGGAGGCGCAGTGCAGGTAAGGAGGCAAGGGTGGAATCGCATGTGCATGTGCAGGGGGTGTGGGGGGGGGGGGGGCTGCTCGCATTGCCTTCTGGGTGCGCGCGCACAATTTTTGGCACAGGAGCCCAAAAACGTTAGCCACCACTGGTATAGGGTCCTGCTATGGGCAGGCTGTTGGAGTAGAAGACCTCAAAACTCCAGCGCTATTCGTCTGTTTTATGTTCTATCTTCCGCTTTGGTCTCCCAAGTTACTGAGAACAGGAAGTTAATCTGAAGCTCTTCAGGACAACCAGAAATTTAAAGTGCTCTAAAAATCAACAGATCCAATTTCTACCTGGCCAGCAAAATCACTGGCACGTTTTGTATCTGCTGGGCTGTTCTTGTTCCAAGGAGCCAGAGTCGTTTGAGACGGATTAGGAAAGAAAATAGCCGAAGCGCTCTTGGAGTGTTTGGAAAGCGTTATTCAAATACTAGCTTTTTCTTGGAAGTTATTTGGACTGGATCGTTTCCAAATTTCTTTGGGAGCTCAGGTCAGGAACAGATAGTACCCTGGCACAGATCAGATCAGATCAAAGTCCAGGAAAGGCACAGGGAAGCTTGCAACCAGCCTGGGATCGGCTTCCTCCAAGTTGGCCTTCTGCCACTTGGTCAGTTGCCTGATTCCCTTCACAGTTAAGTTTAGCTGGCAACAACTCCAGGTAACCTTAGAGGCGCCAAAAACACAAAGCCTTTTTCTCCTTCTGGGGCAGGACAGCTGTTCCATCCGCGGGGTGAAACGCCCCCCCCCTTCTTTTCTTCTTCCATTGAAGAAATGACAGATACACGGATCTGACACTGTGTGTGCAAGGAAACTGTGTGTATAAATTGCAGGACGATTGGGTCTCAAATGTTGTTTCGGTATCCAAAGACCCAGGCTGTATGAACCGGATTAAAATAGGTAAGATGAGAGTCTTACCAACATGGCCTTGGAAGTTCCACTTGCTTTGCAAATAAGTGCAAATAATTAAGAGGTTAAAAAATGCACACTTTGCAAAGAAGAGAGAGCTTTTATGATTTCATCAGTCACTCCTACGGCCGCTCTAGGGCTTAAAATGCATATGGATCTTGCCAAAGGATCTTCATATATATATATATATACATATACATATACATATACATATACATATACATATACATATACATATACATATACATACATACATACATACATACATACATATATATATATATATATAAAAAAACATATATATACATATATGCATACATACATACATACATACATACATTCATACATATATATTATTTATTTATACAAACATTCCATCTTTCATTTGAACAGCGTGTGGGCATAGATGCCTTGTGCAATAACCATTATAGTTTATACATATTCGTTGCTTAACTTTAATACTCTATTCTTACTTAATACTAATCTACATCATATATCTAATTCTTTTAACATTCCCCATCTTAACATTTTTAATTCTTACCACATGTTTACTATTTTGTGCTAGTCTCTTCTTTAATTTCCAACTTCCATAGTTGTTTTCCAACCATTGATAAAATAAATCCCATATGATCTCGCCAAAGGATCTTGTCAGGTCTCCGTCTTTTAATTTTCTTGCTTTACTTTTGGGTAGGGAAGGAGCACGTCCAGCCACCCCTTCAGAAGGCAACAATTCACTCAGCCAGGCCTGTCTAGACAAGGTGGCACATCTGGCTGCTTCAGCTGAGACATATTTAATTCTCCAACTTAGAATCCTAGAGCCTTATTGGGACAAAGCAATGACTGGATTCCTGAGGTTCTTAGTGAAAATCCCAGTAGGAGATCCTTTTGAGATGCCTTCACAACGCTAAGTCAGAATAACCAAATGACAGAGTGGGAAGGGACCTTGTAGGTCATCTAGTCTAGCCCCCTGCCCAAGCAGGCAACCCTACACCATTTCTGATAGATGGCAGTCCAGTCTCTTCTTGAAAGCCTCCAGGGATGAAGTTTCCACAACCTCTGAAGGCAACTTCTGTTCCATGGGTGGATTTTTCTCACTGTCAGGAAATTCCTCCTTATTTTTAGATTGAATCTCTTCTCAATCAGTTTCCATCCATTCTTCCTTGGGTGCCTTGGAAAATAGCTTGACTCCCCCTCCTCTGGGGCAGCCCCTCAAATATTGGAAGGCTGCTCTCCTGTCTCCCCTGGTCCTCCTCTTCCCTGGACTAGCCATTCCCAGTTCCTGCAACTATTCATTCGTATGTTTTAGCCTTCAGTCCCCTCATCATCCAGGTTGCTCTTCTCTGCACTTTTTCTAGAGTCTCAACCACTTTTTTATAGTGTGGTGACCAAAACTGGACGCAGGACTCTAGGTGTGGCCTTACTAAGGCTTTGTAGAGTGATAGTAGTATCTCCCTTAATCTTGATTGCATCCCTCTGTTAATGCAACTTAGGATTGCACTGGCTTCTTTGGCTGCCAAAACACACTGTTCAAATCTCAGTGGCTCAAGGTTGACTCCGCCTTCCATCCTTTCGAAGTTGGTAAAATGAGAACTCAAATTGTTCGGGGCGATAGACTGACTCTGTAAATCACTTAGAGTGGGCTGTAAAGCACTGTATATAAATCTAAGTGCTAAGTGCTATTGCTATAAGTCACTTTTTTCAACGGTGGCGGGTTAACTTCAAAACGGTCACTAAATAAACTGCCATAAGCCGAGGACTACCCATAAAGCAATGGTGGCTTCACAAATGATATGTCAACACAAAGGCTCAGTTCTCACCAAAATTGACACCCAGCCCCGTTTTGCCTCATCTAGCATACAAGCTGAGTGGCCAAAATCTGATTCCAGAGGGACCAAGCCAGGGGTGGCAGCTGACCACACTCGTCCACCAACACAGGGGTGGGATTCTACCTGGTCGGACTGGTTCTAATCCAAAAGCAGAGCTGAACCTTCCTTAGGACTGAAGCTTCTATTTTTCAGTGCGGACTCAGGTAGCAGATGGCAGAAAGGTAGATCTCTGAATGAATCTGTGATTCTGTGAGCAACTCAATCTGCCTGCCTGCTTTGCCTGATTTTTGGGTAAAAAATGCTCTTTTTTAATAAAAAAAAATCAATATTTAAATAAATATTTATAATATTTACATACACACCATGCCCACCCTGTCACATGATCACCAAGCCACACCCATAAACTAGGCTACGCTCACAGAACCGGTTGTTAAGAAATTTGAATCCCACTCCTGTCCCCGCACTCACGTTCTCATTGGTCATGGTCTGGCCGACTCCGGACATCACGGACTTGGCGGTGCCAGTTCTCTTCCGGTTGATGAAGATGATCCCACCCAGGTAGATGACCAATCCCACTGGCCCCGTGTAGAGCAGCTCCCTCTTGGCAATCTGGACGCAGCGCTCCGGAAGGATTTCCATCAGCCCTGCGAAGGACAAAAAAAAAACAGGAGGAAGACACGTTGAAAAGCTGCCTCTGAGATTGGGAGAGCCCACCAAGTGCCCCTCTCCCCATCTTTGCCGACCGTGACTGGCAGAGACCCAGAGGAACGTCCTATTTGGGCCGAGGAACCCAAGGGCTGTTTGGGGCAGGTAAACATGGAAACGACGTTGACGCAACCCTTATTCGGTTAGCGTTGAAACCTCAGTCAAGATTTCATGGTCTCTGGAGAAATTAAGAGTCTCTCAGCTCGGCGCTGGGAGGGAGGGGTCTCAAAGGCTGGGCTGTGGTGAGACAGCAGGCTGGACCAACCAGGAAGCCCACCCCCCATTGAATCAGGAAAGAGATTCCCACCCATTCGCATCATGCATCTAGTCTGGCTAAAAACCCATTTACGTGGGTCATAGCCTACAGCTGGGCCATGAAAGAGCCCAACACCCTTTCAAGCCTGCCATCCATCCATCCATCCATCCATCCATCCATCTATTATCTATCTATCTCTACCTCTATTATCTATCTCTTTTATCTCTATCATCTATTTCTATTATCTTTCTTTATCTCTATCCTTTATCTCTATCACTATCTCTATCTCTGTCTATTTCTATTATCTATCTCTATTATCTCTATCATCTCCATCTATCTCTATCTCTATTATCTATATCTATTATCTATATCTATATTTCTATCTATCTATATGTATCTCACAAGTGATTAAATCAATGTACTGAATTATAAATCTTCTATCTATTATAAATAATTTTGCAGTACACCTGTAGTCCTTTTGAATTTCCTGATTTCTTAGGCCTGACAAGTCTAAATTTAACCAACTATTATTATCAATTAAACACTGGTAAATTGTCTACATAGGGTACAAAACCGGCAAGGATTCTTCGTTTCTGATGAGAATTTCCTGTCCCTTTCACAGAAAATGGCATATTTTTCCCATGAGAAACGTACTTTCTTATCTGAAACACCAATCTGGAATTCATTGGAAACCATTTCTGGATTATAATATTAAAAATGGGTTCCTACCACATCCAAAGATTCTTTCTAACATATGATTATAATACTGTGGCTTATTTTTTTTAATCAGGCAGACATTGACTTTTATCCCAGCTTCTAATTTAAAACCTGAGTCATAGTGGTCATAGTTATTAACCATAATGACTTAATTTTTAACAATTAATTTTTCCATATTTAGATCTTCAAACTAATATAAGGGATTTTAATATGTGGGTGTAAACCCTTGTTATTAGGACATTTTACAGCAAACATGAGATGTTAGTAAAAGAGCTGTGTCTGTTTTTCTTCTTTGTTTTTGTAAATAATAATAATGCAAAATCCAGTCTAAGTATCTGGATGGCTTATGTGCAATGAAGTATAATGAAGTTATAATGAAGTTATTACTATTATTCTTCCAAATATACATGAGTTGCATAATGAGTCAATGAACAGAAGAGAGGCAGGTAGCCAGACAGGTTTATTCTAACCAAGTTTGGTATACTGTGTAAATATACCTCTTAATGTCAACTCATAAAATATTTTTATGGCCTTTTTAGAGTTTGCCAACAGAAAGGGAGAGGGGAAAGGGGCTTGAAAGAGCAGTGTGGCAGCTTGGAAATCGAAAGTGCATTCCATAAATAGTTTTTCAAAGATAGTAACTAGGTGACTGAAGTTTCTGCCACGCAAATATCTAACTGGAGAACACGATTGATGACTCTGGGCTATGGATGTGTCTCATTGGAGAATATGAATTATGATACACCCGGGGGGTGGGGGAAAACCAGGGTCAAGGGTGACAATGGATTATGTGTCTCAGAGCCGGCTACACCCAGGCAGTGCCAGACATGTTAACTCTGAATAAATCCTTTAAAGTTTTGGAAGTTTGGCTCAAGACTCATGATTTAATTGAGGTAAGTGCCAGAATCCTGACACTTAGGTTTTTAGCAAACCTGGCTACACATGTGATGTTCTATCTCGATTAAGCTAATCTTGATTTAAGAAAACCAGGGCTGGGTGTGAAGACCCTGGTTTCAGTGGCTTCTCCCCTTCCCTAAAAGCTCAAGCAAAGGCCATGAAATGGGAATGGCCCCTTGTGGTCTATCTGCCACTGCAGGAACAGAAGAGGCAGCGTCAAGTGAGGAATTAGTCTGGAGTGCTTACATCGCTGAAACAATCCAAGTCCATTTCCAGTGAATTCCGTTGACCTTCCCTAGAACCAATTTAGTGCTGATGGTTAGTTGGCTAAATTCTTGAGTATAGGCGTGAGCAATCAATCTGAATTGCAACATAACATGTGCATTAAACCCATACAATTCTTGGGTCTGTGGCAATTTGCCACAACCAACTTGGCACCCGCCATCTTGCCACAAGACAACTCACTGCAGGGCAACAGTTAGACTAATATTAAAGAAATGGTGGAATAGAGTCATTAATGAGCTGTGGTGGCGCAGTGGTTCGAGTGCAGTACTGCAGGTTACTTCTGCTGACTGCCGGCTGCCTGCAATTGGGCAGTTCGAATCTCACCAGGCTCAAAGTCGACTCAGCCTTCCGTCCTTCCGAGGTCGGTAAAATGAGGAGCCAGATTGTTGGGGGGCGGGATAGGCTGACTCTGTAAACCGCTTAGAGGGGGCTGTAAAAGCACTGTGAAGCGGTATATATAAGTCTAAGTGCTATTGGTATTAAAGAAAGGATGCAAAATGAGGGACAGAATGAAATGTGAATGGCAAAACTTGAAATAATTGTGTTTGTTTTAAATAATTAAATAGAATTGTTAAATTCTCCTGCGCCAAGTTGCCCATAGTGAGGGCGGCTGCGGTGAGTTGGCCGCAAGGAATCGGCCATGACAAATCGTCCCATTCCCACACAATTCTTTGTGCCGGGCCCCTTTTCAGAGGCTGGGCAGGCCAAGGACAAGAATACCTCCTCCCGCTGTGACCCATGGAGACCAGACCCGTACCGATCATGTCCAGGATGCTCTGGTGGTTTGAAATGATGACACAGGGACCTTCTATCCCGAAGTGCTCCAGACCCTTCACTTCAAACTTCAGGCCGTAGAAGTACTTGAAGGTGCGAACCACATTTTTAATTAACCTAATAATTTTTTAAAAAAAACAGACAAAAGTGTGTGATGAGACAACCGGCCCTCCACAGAGGTGAAACTTCGCGTCGAAGATGACTTGAAGCTGTTCCAGAACCAAAGCCACGTTTCTCTCCCCCCCACAACTCTCTCTCCACTCTCCTGCATGCAACAGGTATTTTCTTCGCTCATTAAACCCGAAATTCTGGCTTCTTAAAACGGCAAAACCTCTTTTGGCGAGATGTTAGAGGGCTAGGAGCTGCATGAATTTTCCTGCTTTCAGCCTCCCAGCTGGAAAAACAAGTTCCTCTCTTTTCCGCTCTCCCAGTCACCTCCATCAACGGCTTTCTGGTTGAGGCGGGAAGGTAAACTATCCATGAAAATGACTCAGCTCTTTCAACCGTGGCTGGGCAAAGTCCCTCAGCTGCCTTCGGAGTGACTGACGGAGGCAGCATGTCACTCTTGTCTTGACCTCAAAGCGTGCTCTCTCTCTCTCTCTCTCTCTCCCTTCTCCCTCTCCCTCCGTCTCTGTGAGTGTCCCTCTCTGTGTGTGTCTCTGTCACTCTCTCTTTGTGTGTGTGTCTCTCTCTCTCCCCGTTTCCCTTCCATCTGAAACTTCCACTCCTGGTTTGCAACAGCCCACATTTCCTAGAGAAACGACCACACCTAGAACTCCCAGCCTTGGCCCACATGGGTGAAAACCGCAGCCCCAACACTGTCTTGGCAGGGCTAAAAACCACCGAGAGATGCCAATTAGTCCTTGACTTATCATTCCAATTGCGACTGGAATTTCCACTGTAACACTTGTTAAGTCAAGTCAGACTCAATTTTAGGACAAACTTCATGGTAAAGTAAATCACGAGGTTGTTAAAGAAATCCATCTTCCCTCATCACTGTTTCTTGTCGGAACTTGAACCCCAAAAATGGTTCACAAAAGGTGACCACAGGATGTTGCAGCCTGTCAAAAGCACGAGCTGGTTGCCAAGTGCCCAACTTATAATTACACCATTGTGGTGTGATGTGACAGCTGCAAGTGTAACTACAGGTTATAGATCCTTTTCTATTTTCTGCTCTATTTCAAAAACAATAATAATAAAGGATTCTATTCTTAGCACCAACTGTAACTTTGAACCTTTGTTCAATGAAAGGGGGATCATTGCTGAACTACAAGTCCCAGCTTGCTTTGAAGGTGCAGCACTTCCGCACCTCGCAGGATTTTTATTTTTATTTTATTATTTTTATTTTATTTCATTTTATTTATTTTATTATTTTATTTTATTATTATTATTATTAATTTATTTATTTTTGTCAATTGTTTACAAGATAATAGGTGTAAGTAAAAACATAGTTATGAATACATGGATACATATAAGAAAAATAAAAAATAAAAGAAACAATAGGACAGGGACGGTAGGCACGTTGGTACGCTTATGCACACCCCCTACAGACCTCTTAGGAAAGGGGTGAGGTCAATAGTAGACAGTCTAAGGTTAAATTTTGGGGGGTTTGGGGAAGAAACCACAGAGTCAGGTAGAGTATTCCAGACATTGACCACTCTGTTGCTGAAGTCGTATTTCTTGCAATCAAGCTTGGTGTGGTTAACCTTGAGTTTGTATCTATTGTTTGCTCTTGTATTGTTACGGTTGAAGCTGAAGTATTCATTGACAGGAAGGACATTGCAATGTATGATTTTATATACTATACTTAGATCGGACCGAAGGTGGCGTAGTTCTAGTTTTCTAGGTCTAGAATTTCGAGTCTGGTGGCACAAGGTATTCTGCAATGAGTAGAGGAGTGGAGAACTCTTCTTGTGAAATATTTCTTGATTTTCTCAACTGTGCTAGTATCAGATATGTAATGTGGGTTCCAGACTGATGAGCTGTATTCGAATATAGGTCTAGCAAATGTTTTGTATGCTCTAGTTAGTAGTGTGATATTACCAGAGAAGAAGCTACGTAGGATTAGGTTAACAACTCTTAACGCCTTTTTGGCTATGTAGTTACAGTGGGTTCTAGCACTTAGATCATTAGAGATGAGTCCTCCAAGGTCCTTGACAGAGTTTGGATCATCAACAAGGTCTTGACTATTCACCCTGTATTTTATTTTCTGATTTATTTATTTTTTTGCCAATATGTAGGACAGAGCATTTATTTGTTGAGATCTGAAGTTGAGGATGAAGGCAGATGGGGTAAAAAAGGCCGCAAGAGCTAGCAGGGGCAAAACAGACGGACGAGAGCTGTGGTGCTGTGCCAGAAGATGGAAAGCGCACTGCCTCTACTGCCCAAGGGAGGGGAAGGAGCAGGTGGCACACCACCCCGAGAATCGGGATCCGATTGGCTCTCTGCAGCTGCCCCCACCTCCGTGCAAATGGGGGCAGAGTCCACTTCCAACGTAGGGAGCAACAAGAGCGGTGAGTAACCCTTAGGACAGAGGTCGAGGCCAGAGGTCCAACCCATTCCTGGGATGAATGGCTAGGGCTTTTCTTTTTCAGAAGAGAAGTTCTCTTCTCTTCTCTTCTCTTCTCTTCTCTTCAGCAGAAGAGAAGATAAGGATGGAAAGAGCAGCTTTGAAAATCTCTTTAGCTCACGAGCCCAAGGGGAGGCCTTGCTTTTCTGCCAGAGACGAAGAGGCACTTTGCAAAATCCTCTGCTTGAGGGTCTTTGCACTAAGATGCTGTTTCAAAGGACTTTTTCTTCTCAATTGATTTTATTTTATTTATGTATTTATTTATTTACTGGATTCATGTTGCTGCCTATTCACCCATGGTGACTTCAGGCGGCGTACAAGGTATAAAACCACATTTAAAACAGTAAAACTAGTAAGAAGAATCAAATAAATTAATAAAATTGTCGTGATGCACCGTCAGCCTGTGCAGAGGGCAGCCGAATTGGACAGTGGGGAAGAACAGGTCTGGGAGTCTGGGGAGGACTCGGACGAGGGTCCTGCATCCGATGCAGAGATGGGGCCAGGACTATTTGGGAGTGGGGTGCTACCTCTGAAGCCTCTGGAGTCTGGCAGCAGCGAGGCAGAGGAACAAGGGGAGCCTGTTCCCAGTGCGCATATGCACAGAGCTGCTAGAAGGCAAGAGCAGCTGAGACAAAAGGGGCAACTTGGGAGTAAGCCTTGGAGGTGATTGCCCCTCCCCTAAGGGATAAAGGAAGTGCAAAGGTAGAGAAACCTTTGCAGGAAGCAACGTCGTTCGCTCTGTTCAGATTAAACCTTGAAGCTCTGTGTGGACTTTGTTCTTCGGTCGAGTTTTTTACAGTTAATTTGACACTTTAGTTGTTGGCAGCCATTCAAAGGAGAGAAAAGTGGGTGCTTATCTCGAGGGACTGTTTGGGACTCAGTACAGGCTGGGAATTAGCATAATTCCCAGTGGTGAAATAAAACAAGAGTTGTTTTAACTAAGTGTGTGCTTAGTTATGGTCTCAGGAAGTCTTGGTCAGAACAATAATAAAATCACCTCCCACCCCAGCAACAGCAGGTTCCACTGGGCTTCATCCCGCTCTGGGTTCCCCGGGCCCACTGGCAGAACCAGGTCTTCAATGCCTTCCGGAAGAGAATCAGAGTGGGGGCCATTCTGATATCTGGGGAAATGATGTTCCAGAGAGAGGGAGCCACCACAGAGAAGGCCCTTCTTATGGGTCTCACCAGGTGTATCTCCCTCGGGGATGGGATTCGCAGCTTTCCCTGCCTCCCCAGTCTGATGGGTCGGGTAGATGTGACCAGCAAGAGATTTCCTGGTTCACATGACTTCAGGAAAGAAAGTGAACTGTAGATGGTTCCATAAAAGTCGATCACTACAGTGGAAAGAAGAGGCAGCCAGGAAATCGGCTCTTTGTAATTCCTCTCTGGACCTGAGGATCACCCACAAGTGCTCCAGAACGCTACTCCTTATGAGGAAACCACAAGCAATGCTCTCCGACTGATTCAAAGTTCTGGGAGACAAAGCAACGGCCATCTTTTTACTCAAAACAGGGTCAGCGCCTTCAAAGGAATGCAAATAGGTTTGGATGTTTCCTTTTCTAAACAGAAATTCAATCCTTTCCATGGGAAAATGCTTTTGGCTCGAATTCTCTTTTTTGAAAAATAAAAAACCGATAGGATTAAATGATGACGCTTGGACATAAGAGGGAACCAGAAAGAACTAAAGTATACAATTGAAAGGGAAGAAAGGTTAATTTGCTTTACAAAGACAGAATTCAGCAAACTGTTTTGTAATATTGAAGAATGTTTTTGAGCAGTGGACGGAAGTTTATTTTAAGAGTGTCTGTTCTAGAGAGATGCGTTTAAAAAATATTATGGAAGAGGAACAAGTTTTACCGGATCCGTTTGAGGCACATCTGACAGTGGATTTAAAAAATGAAAGGCTACAGAGGTGGTAAAAGATGATGCGCTTACAGAAGAAACCAGATGACGTCTTAATAATTAAAGGGGATTTAAAAAAATTTGCATACCAGGAGACTGACCTGGATTTTCCCATATTGGATTTACGAAAGAGGCTTCTTAAAGCTCTGAAGGGTTTTCTGCACTTCCTATTTTTGTATTCTTTTATTTTTTTTAAAAAAAAAACTTTGAATTAGCTTTTATTATTGTAATTTTTAATATAATTAACTTTTTTAAAAATTCCTGAGGTTAAAAAATAAAGTCACAATGGCCGAAAACAACCAAGGCTTAATCCGCATTTGAGCCCTGCAGTCTTTGAGAAGCAGTTTGCACCCAACAGGTAACAGATAAATCAGAGTTGGAAGGGACCTTGTAGGTCATCTAGTCCAACCCCCCCCCCCCCGCTGCCGCCCAAGTGGGAGATCCTACACCATTGGATACCAAATGGCAGTCCAATCTCTTCTTGAAAGTCTCAAGTGATGATGCTCCCACAACTTCCAAAGGCAACTTCTGTTCCACGGGTTGATTGTTCTCTCACTGTCAGAAAGTTTCTCCTTATTTCCAGGTTGAATCTCTCTCCTTGTTCAGTTTCCTTCCATTATTTCTCGTCTGGCCTAAGGTAACTGCA